CCCACCTCACCCCGTTTGCACGCAAACACGCCGCCCCTCCAAGTTCACGGCGCTGGCACGACCCCAAGACCGCCGCCCTCGCTCGCCTTCGCCCTCCGAGAAACAAACAATTTTAAAGAAACACCGCACACTCTCACACTCGAGGGGGCGAGGGCGGCGTCGAGGACGCGGCGTGTTTCGGGTGGGTGCGCGTCGGTGACTCACCACCGCGCCGCCCCCGCCGGCACGTGTGTCCGGGACGCTTTGGGCGGCGGCGGGGGCGGCGGGGGTGTCGGCGATCTGCACCGCCGTCAGCAGCCTACCCGTGTGGTGCAGCGGCGGCGGCGATCATCCATGTCCCTCCGGATGGAGCGAGCACCGCAAACACCGCCCAGGACCGCGTCGTTCTGAGCCTCCGGCCGGCGAACTACTCTCCTACCGGCACCGCGGCCACCACTATCCGCGACGCCCCCCCCCCCTCTCTCCTCCTATCTCCTGATCGCCGTCACGTGACACACCTCCTGCTGCTCAAAGGGCACCGCTCTGTAGACTCGAGTGTCCTGCTGGACTCGACGCGCTCGGTCCCCGATTAGCCCAGGAGGGGGTTCCCCGCGGACCGCATCGCGATGGCGCGGACCTCAAGCCGTCGTGACGTCGTGACGCAGCAACAGCGGTGGGGGCGGCCGGTCCGGTTATCGCGGGGGGGAAAGGGGGGGGGGAGTAAGAGGAAAACACGCGATGAAAATATTCGTGAAACGCCATGGTTGTGTGTCACGGTACGGAGGGGGGGGGGGGCTTTGACGTTTTGTCCGACCGCAAGTTCCTTAATAGGTTTTCGACAGTCAGACGATTATTGTCGCACCATGGTCGATCGACCTTAACCTACCTCACATTCTGTTATACTTGTATTTATTCCTGGCTGAATCCACATAAGTTTCCTTCCTCCTATTTCGACAGCTGGCCGATAAAGGCCTTATTCGTTTCGATAGAATCATCCTTTTCATTTCGTAAATCACACGCAGATAGTCCCTAACTTTATTTCGACTGCTGTACGCCAGTCGTCGTACGACAATTCTGTGCTGCGACGGACTGGAAGGTATATAGGCCTCAAAATTCATGGGTATTATTCCTCTTTGTAGCTGTCATCCGAGCTTGGAAAGGCGTCGACCGGCAGAAGCTGACGGCCTGGGGATCAACACCCGGTTTGCGCAAATATTTTTTTTTTGTCGCTTCTTGTCCCCAGTAGGTCGGGACCGAATTTCGAACGACCCGTCGGAGAGACCACCTGGCAGCCGAGCGTGCTGAGGCGTCGGCCGTCTTCAGTAGTTGGACTAGGTCCGCTCGGAACGAGGATGGTCGCTGGTTCAAATACCGCCCGCAGAACTTTTTTTCCCCGAGCTGCTCGCCATTGGCTCGTCGTCGTTCCCGACAGCAGAGTGTACACCACCCCTCTTCTTTCCTACTGATTGACTTTTCAGTCCTAAAAATAAAGAAGCTTTGAACCGCCAGCGACATCGTAGATTGGCTCGTCCCGTAGGGAACTTGCCAGTAGCGTACCCTCGCGGCTAAGTTGTTAGAGCGCCGGATTGCGATGTCGGTGGTCGGTGGTTCGAATACCATTCGAAGATGATTTTTCTTTCTTTAATGGCCATGTCTCTGTGACTGTTAAAGAGAGCGTAGATTGGCTCGACCTTTGGAGCGACGGCCAGCATCTTGCCCGCGTGGCTAAATTCTTATAGTGCTCGCTCGCCACGCACATGGTCGCGGGTTCGGATCCCGCCCGGGTACCACTTCTCTCTGCTGGCCATGCGTTTTGTGTTTTGGGGGGCCAGCGACAGTGGATATAGGCTTGCCCGCTGCAGCGATGATATCCAACTTGCCTCTGTAGCTTAGTTGGTAGTGCGCGTCCCCGGAACGCAGATGGTCTTGGGTTCGAGTATCGGTCGAGTTTCATTTTTACCGTCTCGTAGTACGCACCAAAAAGAAAATTGACACTCTTGACACAACGTTGGTATAAATCCGACGACTAGGTCTGCAGCGAGGTCCGGAAAAAAAGGATGGCCCGCATCTGGATTCGAACCCCGGGCCGACGGTGTCTGGGGACGACGCCCCGGCACGCTAGGCACACGGCTCTCGGTCCCACCTGTCGTCGGGGAGTTCAGCACTCGGTCCTGCTTTACAAGTCTTGGTCTCCCATATTGCTCGCGTTCAGGTCGGCTCAAGTCCACCTCCTCGACGCGCTGCAGCCCGGGTCGGCTCTTGGCCCGAAACAC